ACGCCAGCAAGATTCCAAAGTCAAAGCAGATCTGATCCAAGCCCTGCACAAACAGGAACCATATTAAACGTTGTATGACGTCATAATTATTCATAAGTCTCTTGTTGTCACACCACAAGTCACGCGTGTTAGGTTTTCTAGCACTTGCACCTTTGTGTCATTATTTCTATGTGTTTAGGTCACACATTTTTTAGTCGCTGTTAGTTTTAGTTATCCGTTCTTCTTTTGCACTGAGTTATCACCTCCTTACTGGACTTAATCCACTGTTCTTGTTCCTTTCCCTTTGCTGTATATCACCTGATGAGAAGGCTTGAAAGTATACTTGTGAAACCGAAAACGTTCAAGGATGTTCGTAAAGAGCCTGAAGTGTGTCCTGTTTTTTTCTTTTGTTTGACTGTAATTTGAATATCCTATACTTGTAGATATTGCCATGAATGAAGTCATAATGGTGAGTCTGCGTAATTCCACAACCGATTATGGACGCTAAATGTGTCGTTGTAAAGGTTGTTTGTCGTCCCTGAAACGAATATTGTTCTTTTCGTTCTCGGACCCCCTCCCACACACCGTCCGTAATGAACACAGCTTGCTAATGTGTATGCCGAATATGGCATGCATGTACATGTAGTATAGAGGTGAACTGCTTATGGTCACTGTGTACATATATAGAGAGTGAGTGGCTAGTGCACTACTAGTGTATCATATAGCACTGCACATGTACTGTGTATGTGTTTTGCTTGCATACCTGTCCTAGAGATAACTGCTGCAGAACTGCATCACAATTCTCAAAGCAAAAAGCTGTGGCGTTGCCGCAGGAACCTGCTCAAACACAAACAAATGACAGGCAGAGAGTAAAAAGTGTTCATAAGTTTGAAAAAGTTTGAAAAAGTTGAAATTGTGTCTGTATTGTTTTTATGAACACATAACTGCTGAGATGTAGTGAGAGAGTGAGAGAGAGAGAGAGAGAGAGAGAGAGAGAGAGAGAGAGAGAGAGAGAGAGAGAGAGAGAGAGAGAGAGAGAGAGAGAGAGAGAGAGAGAGAGAGAGAGAGAGAGAGAGAGAGAGAGAGAGAGAGAGAGAGAGAGAGAGAGAGAGAGAGAGAGAGAGAGAGAGAGAGAGAGAGAGAGAGAGAGAGAGAGAGAGAGAGAGAGAGAGATAGAGAGAGAGAGAGAGAGAGAGAGAGAGAGAGAGAGAGAGAAAGACACAGAGAGAGACACACAGAAATAAAGAAATAAAAAAAGAAAGGCGCAGAGAGAAAGAGAATAAAAGAAAGACACAGCGACACAGAGAATAAAAAAAAGACAGAGAGACAGAGAATAAAAGAGAGACAGAGAATAAAAGAGAGACAGAGAGACCCCAACCACCATCACAGTATGAAATGTTGTTCTTCACCTGTATAACATAACACACAACAAAAACAGAGTTGCATTGCCAGTGGCAGACAGTGGTGAACAACAGGGGGAACACCATACCTAAATCCAAGTCATCAAATTCGTTGATCAGCAATGCCTCCCATTGATACTTGAACCAGCTGGTGCGATCAATCCATATAAGGTAGTCTGGAACATTACTGGAAATATAAAACATACACACATACACACGTACACTGGTTATGTAAGAAAGGAAACATTGCACAAATCCTATAAGCTGTTGTGTATTGTATTAGACGTGATAACAGGATAAAACATGTCACCTTTCACTACACTAGTACTTGTTGCACATACATGGCTAGTTTCTGACCCGCAAAGGACTTCTTTTTGGCCCTCAGTTTTCCATTGCTTTGTTTGCCCTAAAAAAGCAGTTGTTGTTGTTGTTGTTCCCTATCTCTAGGTTGGTGTTACGGGTGTCTGTCCTCAGTAACCATGGTAACCCGTGTGCGAGTTTCTGACAACTTCAAGTGATAATACAACGCTGACCCGACTATCATCTGCTACTTGTAAATGTGTTGTGTTACTAACATATGATTATGACGAGTGTTTTGTCATGTAATTCCACCTCCACTACTTATGTACATGCACTGTCTGACCGACCTCATGACACCAGCAGCAGCAGCAGCAGCAGTAGCAGCAGCAGCAACAGCAGCAGCAACAGCAACAGCATGACTTCAAGTTGTAGATAGCATAGATAGCATAGCATATCATGTAGTGTAGAGAGAGTTGTTGTTTTAGTGATAAACACGCAGAAATATGCTGGATATCTACTTATCTCTATCCGAGTTGTATAAATACAATTCTCCAGTGCATGTATATAGAGTTTTCTTACTCGGGATTTAAAAAGACTCCAGTGAAGAGCATGAAGGGGATGACAAACGGAGTGACCAACGCCAGGCCTAGCTGCGCGTTGTCAAACGCCAAAGTGGAGATGAAGAAGCCTGTATGCACATACGCACTCACGCATATACACACACACACCAACACAGAATACACACACACAGAATACACACACACACGCACACACACACAGACAGAATACACACGCACGCACACACACACCAGCACAGAATACACACACACACACACGCACACACACACACACAGAATACACACGCGCGCACACACACACACATACACACACACACACAGAATACACACACCAGCAGTGAACAGTAACGAACAAAGAAAACACAACACACAATTGATCATAATTTGAACTGCCCTCTCTCTCTCACCCACTCCCCCCCCCCCCCCTCCTTCCCTTTCCCCAGCCCCCACTTCTCCAAAACTGATTAAAACAGCTGGAGAGGAGACAAGGCAACTTTAAAAGATACAACAATACGCCTTCAAGCAGCCGAGCCTCTTGCCAACTACAGTAAGATCGGGCGCCGAAGAACACCTCGCCGAAGAACGCCCAGGCTGGAAAACCGGCAAAATTTAAGAACAGTCCAGGCTAGAATTATCAGATTTAAGAACACTAGATCTACATGTACATTGTACGTAGATATTGTATGGGAGGTGAGTACATGTCATGTACACGTGTAAACAGTAACTGCTACATGTACTGTCATTCCCATTTACGACACCCACTAGTTTAGAAGTTCTACATTGCACTACATGTACATGTACATGTACATGTACATGACAAACGTCATGTACATGTACATGACAAACGTCATGACGTCACTCGACTCGCCGCGCGCGTGTGAATAAGAACGGTCTGGCAAGAATCAAAAATTTAAGAACTTTCCTAGGCTGCGCTCGAGCCCCTGCGTTCTTCGGCGCCCGATCTTACTGTACTTGCTTTCGTGGAGTGTGGCTGGTGAACTGTTCGTGCTGTGGTCTGCAAGCGTCGTGTGGTCTCGTCGGGTCAAATGAAAAACCTATTAAGACCCCACACTATCCGGCATATTTGTACCCACCAACCGAACTAGCTCGCACACATGCACGCACGCACACACACACACACACACACACACACACACACACACACACACACACACACACACACACACACACATGTACACACATCGACACGCACACACACACACACACACACACACACACACACACACACACACACACACCCATGGACACGCTCACACATACACCCATGGACACGATATCTCACACACACACACACACACACACACACACACACACACACACACACCACACACACATACACACACACATACACACACACATACATGTACACACATGGACACACACACACACACACACACACACACACACACACACACACACACACACACACACACATGGACATGCTTACACACACACACACACACACCCATGGAGACGCTCACACACACACACACACACACACACACACACACACAAACACACAAACACACACACACACATATATATTATATACACACACATGCAGACACGCACACATAGACGCACAGACATACGTGGACAATCATTGTACGTGTTTTCCAATACCTAGAGCCCGGGCTTGATAAGCCGCCATGAGAAGAACGGCGAAATACGTGAAGAACCCGTCTGCATCCACCCGAAAACCTGCATTTGCAATAACAACAGGACAGCAAAGATCTTTGCAGGCAGGTGGCATTCCAACGGATCCAGAAAACTCGCCCTCCAGCTGATTCATACGAGAAGGAGGAATTTAATAAAAGGGCAAATACGGTATAAAATCAATATTCATATACTTGCAGTTTGTGGCTGTTTGGGATGCCGGGTTGACTTGGTCTGAGGAAGATGAGTCGATCCCTTTCATCTATACACTGTTTCCACATTATTATAGTCAAAATTTAATATCAGTAGGATGAAAAAAAGATCATAAAATGCATCATCCGGGGGCTTCGGCCCAGGACCCCCTTCATACTCGGTAACCCGGGTGTACATACATACACACACGTACACCCACACACTCACGAACGCACACATACACCCACCCACCAATGGACCTCTTTAGGACGAAACACCAAGGGACCTCTTTAGGACGAACACCAAGGGACCTCTCCTGGCATGACCAACAGGGGTCTGTCCTGGACGAATACCAAGACATCTCTTTAGAACAACAGCCAATGTACCTACCGTATTATCTCTAATACAAGCACAGTCTCCAATAATAGAACACCTTGGGGCGGCATTCAAAAAATAAAGTGCTCAGTCTCCATTATAAGCACACTGTGTAAATTCATTATCTGAATCGGCGAAAAAAACCTGAAATGTGTGTGTCTGACATGAATTTGGCCATGGCAACATGCCTATGAAATGAGGTTGAAATAATAATGGAACAGTCTCCAATAAAGGAACGTCTCCATTAATAGCACGGGGCGGAGGTATATTGAAAAAATAAAGGACCGTGTTTATTATTAGAGATAATACGGTATTTAGAATGACCAGCAAGGAACCTCCTTAGAATGACCAGCAAGGAACCTCCTTAGAATGACCAGCAAGGAACCTCCTTAGAATGACCAGCAAGGAACCTCCTTAGAATGACCCGCAAGGAACCTCTTTAGAATGACCAGCAAGGAACCTCCTTAGAATGACCAGCAAGGAACCTCTTTAGAATGACCAGCAAGGAACCTCCTTAGAATGACCAGCAAGGAACCTCTTTAGAATGACCAGCAAGGAACCTCCTTAGAATGACCAGCAAGGAACCTCCTTAGAATGACCCGCAAGGAACCTCTTTAGAATGACCAGCAAGGAACCTCCTTAGAATGACCAGCAAGGAACCTCTTTAGAATGACCAGCAAGGAACCTCCTTAGAATGACCAGCAAGGAACCTCTTTAGAATGACCAGCAAGGAACCTCTTTAGAATGACCAGCAAGGAACCTCCTTAGAATGACCAGCAAGGAACCTCTTTAGAATGACCCGCAAGGAACCTCTTTAGAATGACCAGCAAGGAACCTCTTTAGAAGGACCAGCAAGGAACCTCTTTAGGACGACCAGCAAGGAACCTCTTTAGAACGACCAGCAAGGAACCTCTTTAGGACGACCAGCAACGAACCTCTTTAGGACGACCAGCATGACAAAACAAAAAACATGAAGAATCCGTGCCGTGAGTGTCGTCCCCTCACCAATCATGAAGTAGGTGATGACAGTGAAAAGAAGTGAATATAGTGTTGTGATGGGTAGCTGTGAAGGGAGAGAAAGCAACAGACATGCATGCACACACACATAACGTGTTACAAGACCAACATGTGCATGCACGGACATATACACACAAACACACACACACACTCATGCACACACACACAAACACACACACAGACACACACATACACACACACACACCACACACTCATGAGGTTTGCTATTCAGCAACTAAAGCCACAGCCAAATCACAGATTTTTCAAGATTTGATACTAATTCCCGCGGTAATTTCCAAATTTTTGGAAAACTTAGACCAAAAACTTGGTAATACTAAGTCTTCTTACTCTATAATGTGTGCAGTAATGGCTGTGCCAATCATTACGAAACCTTCACGGTATAAAAAAATTTGTCACGCTCAACAAGATTGGGTGTGACGTACTGGCATACTGGGATGGTTTCGGAACGATTCAAGCCCCTTATTCATTTATACCAATGCATTTCTTTGGCAAACCCAACGCATAATGTTTTCCCAAATGGACTCTAGCGGATGGAGTTTGTGGAGACGAAGGATTGGCTGTATAAGCGGAGACCCATCATTGTTATGTACTAGCACCACCGCCTCTGACACCATTGTTACGTAATACACCATTTCTCACACTTGCATTATTGTGTATGCATGCATATCTGTGCATGTACCCAACCATGCTAACACCCCCAGCCATGCTAACACCCCCAGCCATGCTCAGCAACACCCCCAGCCATGCTAACACCCCCAGCCATGCTAACACCCCCAGCCATGCTAACACCCCCAGCCATGCTAACACCCCCAGCCATGCTAACACCCCCAGCCATGCTAACACCCCCACCCATGCTAACACCCCCAGCCATGCTAGCACCCCCACCCATGCTAACACCCCCAGCCATGCTAACACCCCCAGCCATGCTAACACCCCCAGCCATGCTAACACCCCCAGCCATGCTTACACCCCCAGCCATGCTAACACCCCCAGCCATGCTAGCACCCCACCCACGCTAACACCCCCAGCCATGCTAACACCCCCAGCCATGCTAGCACCTCCAGCCATGCTAACACCCCCAGCCATGCTAACACCCCCAGCCATGCTAGCACCCCCAGCCATGCTAACACCCCCAGCCATGCTAACACCCCCAGCCATGCTAGCACCCCCACCCACGCTAACACCCCCAGCCATGCTAACACCCCCACCCATGCTAACACCCCCAGCCATGCTAACACCCCCAGCCATGCTAACACCCCCACCCATGCTAACACCCCCACCCATGCTAACACCCCCAGCCATGCTAACACCCCCACCCATGCTAACACCCCCAGCCATGCTAACACCCCCAGCCATGCTAACACCCCCAGCCATGCTAACACCCCCACCCATGCTAACACCCCCACCCACGCTAACACCCCCCAGCCATGCTAGCACTCCCACCCATGCTAACACCCCCAGCCATGCTAGCACCCCCACCCATGCTAGCACCCCCACCCATGCTAACACCCCCACCCATGCTAACACCCCCAGCCATGCTAGCACCCCCAGCCATGCTAACACCCCCAGCCATGCTAGCACCCCCACCCATGCTAACACCCCCAGCCATGCTAGCACCCCCCACCCATGCTAACACCCCCAGCCATGCTAACACCCCCAGCCATGCTAGCACCCCCACCCCTGCTAACACCCCCAGCCATGCTAGCACCCCCACCCATGCTAACACCCCCAGCCATGCTAGCGCCCCCCACCCATGCTAACACCCCCTGCCATGCTAACACCCCCAGCCATGCTAGCCCCCCCCCAGCCATGCTAACACCCCCAGCCATGCTAACACCCCCAGCCATGCTAGCACCTCCAGCCATGCTAACACCTCCAGTCATGCTAACACCCCCAGCCATGCTAACACCCCCAGCCATGCTAACACCCCCAGCCATGCTAACACCCCCACCCATGCTTACACCCCCAGCCATGCTAACACCCCCAGCCATGCTAACACCCCCACCCATGCTAACACCCCACCCACGCTAGCACCCCCACCCATGCTAGCACCCCCACCCATGCTAACACCCCCACCCATGCTAACACCCCCAGCCATGCTAACACCCCCAGCCATGCTAACACCCCAGCCATGCTAACACCCCCAGCCATGCTAACACCCCCAGCCATGCTAACACCCCCAGCCATGCTAACACCCCCAGCCATGCTAACACCCCCAGCCATGCTAACACCCCCAGCCATGCTAACACCCCCACCCATGCTAGCACCCCCACCCATGCTAACACCCCCACCCATGCTAACACTCCCACCCATGCTAACATCCCCACCCATGCTAACACCCCCACCCATGCTAACACCCCCACCCATGCTAACACCCCCAGCCATGCTAACACCCCCAGCCATGCTAACACCCCCAGCCATGCTAACACCCCCAGCCATGCTAACACCCCCAGCCATGCTAACACCCCCAGCCATGCTAACACCCCCAGCCATGCTAACACCCCCAGCCATGCTAACACCCCCAGCCATGCTAACACCCCCAGCCATGCTAACACCCCCAGCCATGCTAACACCCCCAGCCATGCTAACACCCCCAGCCATGCTAACACCCCCAGCCATGCTAACACCCCCAGCCATGCTAACACCCCCAGCCATGCTAACACCCCCACCCATGCTAACACCCCCAGCCATGCTAACACCCCCAGCCATGCTAACACCCCCAGCCATGCTAACACCCCCAGCCATGCTAACACCCCCAGCCATGCTAACACCCCCAGCCATGCTAATAGCCCCAGCCATGCTAATAGCCCCAACCATGCTAATACCCCCAGCCATGCTAACACCCCCAGCCATGCTAACACCCCCAGCCATGCTAACACCCCCAGCCATGCTAACACCCCCAGCCATGCTAACACCCCCACCCATGCTAACACCCCCAGCCATGCTAACACCCCCACCCATGCTAACACCCCCCCCCCCCCGCTAACATCCCTACTCACGCTAGCACCCCCACCCACGCTAACACCCCCCCCCCACTAACACACACGCACACTAACATCCCCCCCCCCCCCACCACCACCACCACCAATGCTGACACCCCTTGCTAACACTACACCCACGCTAACGCCCCCCCCCCCCCCCACACACCCCACACCCACGCTAACACACACACCTACGCTAACACATCCACCCACGCTAGCACCCCACCCACGCGAACACTCCCACCCACGCTAACACACCCCACGCTAATACCCCCACCCATGCTAACACCCCCACCCATGCTAACACCCCCACCCATGCTAACACCCCCAGCCATGCTAACACCCCCAGCCATGCTAACACCCCCAGGCATGCTAACACCCCCAGCCATGCTAACACCCCCAGCCATGCTAACACCCCCACCCATGCTAACACCCCCAGCCATGCTAACACCCCCAGCCATGCTAACACCCCCAGCCATGCTAACACCCCCACCCATGCTAACACCCCCAGCCATGCTAACACCCCACACCCACGCTAACACACACACCTACGCTAACACATCCACCCACGCGAAAACTCCCACCCACGCTAATACCCCCACCCACGCTAACACACACACACAAACACACACACACAAACACACACATCACATACTCTCACACACACGCACGCACACACACACACGCACACACCTCGACACAGAAAATAGAATCCTCACCTCAGCGAAGAACTTGCTGAAGTAGAAAATCCAGGTCTTGTACATGTGGTTGTCGTGGTCCCGTATCAACACAACAACTTCAGTTGGAAACACCTGCATGGCAACAATATCACCATGACAACATCACCATGACAACATCACCATGACAACATCTCCATGGCAACATCACCATGACAACATCACCATGACAACATAGCAACTACAGCATTGTAGCAAGGAGGCAGTGCAGTTTGCTATGTTGTGCCGCCTATCGAAGTCACACCCGTCCATCAGTACATATACGATCACTTAAAGGTATTTCATTGCCAAGAGCTGCGCTTCGGTCCTCTGAGCTGTGCTGAGCAGCTCTAACAGAACGAAACAGTTGCTGTCCACAGATTAGTGTGCTATCACTTACACGCTTTATATCATCCCCAGTGAAGTAGTCTATAACAGTATCTCTTCAGACATGCTTTATATCATCCCCAGTGTAGTAGTCTATAACGGTATCTCTTCAGAGGCGGATCTAGGGGAGGGCGCGGTGGGCGCTCGCCCTCACCTCAAATATTTCGATTTTGTTTAGTGCATGCCCGTGGGCAGTTGCGCAAGTGTTTGCACATGCTGTGACAAGTAGTTTCTAGTGTCAGATAAGAAAGTTCTTCTGAAAACGGAATAATTGTTCTCTTAGACTTTGGTTGACTTTTAGTTTTGAAATTAGTGTTCAGTTGACCAACTTGTATAGCTAAGGCGGTGAAGGGGATGGTGCACCGCCCGCCCAAGCG